GCGCATGGATTAGGCAGCATACGGCGGACCACGCGGTCGGGCGTACGCAGCTGAAAAGTGATCGCTGAATTTGTAGTAAACCCGAAGGTTTGTGCAAGGCATTAATAACACTTGAGGTTTGCTAAATAATATTACAATCGTTTATTAGTGATATTCTTAATTCGTTGATGGTTCAATAAAGAATGAGGTTCTTAGCGCGAGATGATCGAGATAAGCGAATATGATAAGAGAGAGAATATTTGCATTATACGATAGTAGTAGTGTCACAACAGAATTTATATAAACAAAACGATGTAATGAAACTATTACAACATCAGAAGGTTCATTTGTGCAACTAAAACACTTCTGTCGGCAAGTAAAAACAAAATTTCATGAATGGAAAGTTCAACTGATCATTTTCTTCCGATCTTCAAATTATCTGATTATGAAATTCTTTCATCCGATTAAGATCTCATCCTTGTTATGAACTTCTGATGAATTATTTTTGTTACAAAAAGAACAAACAAATTGTCGGCATGCGCATTGAAGAGAGAAACAATTTCAAAGATGAATGAAGTAAATTAAAAGATTAGAAACAAGAAGATCTTCAACAATAAACACGTAAGTATGATCCAAATCTGATTTTCTTATAATTTCAATTTCTTATTCTTCTTTAGAAATGTGAACATCTTATAATTATCGTTTTCTTCTTGAATCTCTTGATAAAAATAATGAATCGTTTTTGAACATCGCTGTAATTATGTCATTGCGTTCTTCAGATACTAGAACTTTTGGATAAAATAAAAATGATTTTTTTTCAATTTTGATATTTAAATTGATAAATAAAAGTTTCACAGAATATGTATTTAAAAATTATTGCAGAGAAAAATATTTGAAGTTTAATTGTTGTTATTTACGAATGAAATTAAACGTAACTGCTCACTTTAGGTTATTGTTATTCAAAGCAATCGCTATTCAACAAAAATCTTCATGTAGTTTTGAAACTTGAAAATGAACTTCAAACTATATTTTGGGATTTTCACGATCCTTTCAACAATTTCTTTTGGTTTTTCTTCTGAATTAAATGGAAAACCATTTCAAAGAATATAAATGAAAAGCGTAAAGTGCAAAGTGGTGAAAGATTTTTATTATCCTAACATGACTTGCTACGCAAAGCCTTTCAATCGAACAGCTTCCACGTTTACAGTTTACGTAAAATTTAAAAAACCTTTGGAAGTTTATTACGTAAGTTTTCTCTTTTTGTGATATTTTAAATTTTTTCCACAAATCATTATTTTTTTTATGCACAGGCAAAATTCTTGTTGGAATATCGATATAGTAATATTTACAGAGAAATCGGCAAATCTCCTAAGTTTAATGCGTGTTCCATGGCGAACAACACAAATCCGATGGTCAAACTTTATTACAGAAC